TTTTGATGGAATGAAATTATAGGCCCCTTCAAGAGGCAAAAAACCTGTTGGATAAAATAAAAATTAGTGAATGGCTGAGCTTGTGTTTAATTAGTGTGCCCTGGGAAAACCACACTGAGTAAGACAAGACAGTTCTATAGGAGAACTTAATTAATGCAGTGTGATTTACATATGACACGTTTTTAATTCATTTAAACTTACCAAATGCTTATTAATTCCTGCTTTGTATCCCCTGCTGCCATTCTATGGAATTTTCAATGGTGTAGACAGTGCAGTTCCCTCCTGAAAAGCTCATGTTCTCTTTGGGGTAAAAAGAAGCTACCTTTAAAGCAAATGCAGAAGCCCTAGGACCATCAAGGGAGACGAGCACGAGCAGAACGTGGGACTGTATCCAGAGAAGCAGCGACACCAGAGGATGAGGACATGGAGAAATAGAGCAACTAAGGACTTTAGACTCATGGAAAGTGAAAAGCTGTGTGCTGGCAGCCAGGAGGCAGGCTTGCAGAATGTGCTCTTTGGTCGTTTAAATGATTATATATTCCTGAGTGTTTTTGTGTATATCCAAAAAAACCAGAGCGAATAGAAACAAATACTGTTGAGATTGTAATCATTGCAATGAAACAATGGGTGTAGAACCAGTGTTCTCCCATGTAAACTATCACTCAATTCACAATAAAAACTTAAAACAGAAAATGCAGTATTGTGTGATACAGACTAGATTTGTTAAAAGAATGTAGAGGAGTTAAAGATCTTGGCTAGTCATTGTGATTGATGGATTTTAATCTACAGACAGGAGATAATTCTTTGAAGTAAAAGATGAAATTGAAATATACGCTGGTGAAAGTTTAGGTGTTAACAGTACCTGAATTGACAAGATTTAATAGTAGCAGCAAAATTGCCCTTGCCAATCCCCCAGGTAGCTTATGGAAAAGCACAAAGGTGCTTTTAAAAGTTTATAGAAAAATTAAAATAAAAAGATAATGAACTTTTCCACAAAATTTTAAAGTCCTCTTACATTTTTAAGAGGGCTTTAAAAATCTTGTTAAGCTGGATTCTTACTCAAGAAAATGAATTTTAACAATAATATTGTCAGGCCCCTGTTAGTACCAGCACTAGTATAGCTTATTTTACTTAAGGAAAGTAGACTTTCACTGAAAATACCCTGGGAGCTAGTTTTCGTTGTAGGATCTCTTGACTGCTACAATGTTGAACACATGAGAGACACAAAATAAAATATAGTGAATTGATTTTCTCATATAAAGTGCCCCTTCAGGTCACCAATTTGCATTCGCTTTTCTTTTCTTCCAGAATATAACTGCTGAATGATAAAGAGATCTTGTAACTACAACAGCACATCTCACCTAAAGTTGTCAGGTCATTTCCAATTGGTTTGTGAGAGATACGGCTATAATTTTTTTTTTTTTTTTTTGGTTTGTGAGAGATACGGCTATAATTTTTTTTTTTTTTTTTAACTTGTTCTGTTTGTCTTCATTTGGTATGGTGTTGTGCCAGTTAGGAGAGGAGGAGGAAGAACCCTACTCAGTCTACAGTCACACAAGCTTTAGTTAAATTGGATCCCTAGTACTTTGTCATGTCCACAAACAGAATAAGAGAGACAACATAAGGAGACTGAGAAATATTTTGAAGGAGAGATGTTTTCGTTATGAATCACCAAATCTACAATTTTAAATATATGCCAGCCAAAAAAATTACCAAATGAAATCTGTATCTACCAGTTATTTAGAAAATTAACAATGAAACTTTCATTGTATGTTAAGTTGTGTGGGGGGCGGCGGGGGATGCTGCTATGATCAGAATCCACAGTGTTACATGTTGTCAGAGGGTCTTTCATTGTTGTCTTTTCTTATAGCAATTACAGCATTTACAAATGAACAGTGACTGCATAGAGGGTAATTTTTGTTAGAAATCTTTTGCTGAATTGTCAGCAGCAGTTTCCTGTTGAGTTCTTGGGCACTGCTGTGAATGCCTTCTTTATTTCCAAAATTACAATGGAATGCTTTCTTATAATAAGATGTATACATGTGGGTTTTTTTCCAGGAAACTTTTCGTATTTCATTTTAAGGACAATCATGTAATTTTCTGGTACCTGTTCACCTCCGTCCATTCCTTTTTACTGGGAGCAATTACCACAAATTGACAAAGATTAGCAATAGAACATCCAAAATGTTGAGCTGTTCTCTTTGGCTGTGTGTGTGTGCGCGTGCATGTGTGTGTATGTATGTGTATGTCGTGGGGGGGTGTGGTGGGGATGTGTGTGAGGAGTAGGGGTAGCTTTGAAAGTTCACCCACTCTATCCAGGTCTGCTTGTGACAGCCACATAATCACCATGCTGTTTGTGCCTCTGCAAAGACTACCATATGGGCCTAATTATTAGATTGTTTGAGAGAAGAAAGTACAACTTGTTTATCTATTAGCCTTTCCCACTGTACTTAAAGGTAGAGTTAGCATTGAAGGAGAGAAAACTCAGCTACAACTCAGATTTGAGACCATACCACTTTGTCCTTCCATTTTTCTTCAACTCATTGGTTTATTTCTAAAAATGTATCAGAGGCAAAACACAAGTTATTGGAAAGCACCTTCCCTCCAACTGTCTGCCGCCCCCTTGTACATACATGTGCACATATCCAGCTATGGGCTCTCTTCTCCCACCAAGGCAATTTCCCACAGCCCCTCTAGGAGCTTTACTGACTCTTCTCAAAGAAGGCAGCTAGCTGTCCATGCAAGTGTTAATGGCTTAGAGGTTAATGCCTTTCCTTTCAAAATGTATGTTCACATTGAGAAAATAGCAAGACAAAAAGATGCAGAAATCTGTTGTGCTTTAAACTGGATACAGAAATTTCTTTTCTTGGAGTTTCGGTCATTATTTTGCCATTTACTGGAAAAAATAAGTTTTTATTCAGACCAAAACTGGAAACCAAACCCATTTATGTCCAGTCAGTTCTGACTCAAAGCGGCCGTATAGACCAGAACAGACTGGCCCTTAGGGTTTCTGGGACATGGATGGATAGGTTTGGTTTCCAGTTTGGGTCTGAATAAAAGCTTATTTTTTTCCAGAAAATGGGAAAACTATGACCAAAACTCTAAGAAAAGAAATTTACAGGAGTCCTGATCGATTTGATCTGCAAGGTCGAAGGTTCAAACGCACCAGCTGCTCCTTGGAAAACCCTATACAGCATTGCTGTGAGTTGGAACCGACTCAACAGCACTTAACAACAACAGACAACAACAAAAATCTTTACAGAATCAAACTGCAATATCTTTCTACCTCAGAGCGGAGCGGCTGGTAGGTTTAAACCACTAATTTTTCCGGTTAGCAGCCAAATGCTTTAGCCACTGCACCATTTTGATCGGTCTTATTAATGAAAAAGAGGAAAAAAATAACTACTTTTTACCTTCCTAATCAGAGTTTCTATAAATTATTTCACTCTCAGTTTGATAGAGGGTGCCCTTGGTTCTAACATGGGAACATGCTTATGGAAATTACCACTTGATGTTTTTTAAAACTCTCTTTCATTTTAGTTAAATGAGGGTACATTTTAAGAATAACCATTAGTGCCTTTGTGGTTTTCTGCTGAACATGCCAGTAATGGTTTAGCAATATGCACTTGTAGGAACTGCCGAATTTACCAGTTGTGGAGAGGGGAGACCCTCTAATTTTTCCAACTTTTTTTTTTTTTAATTTAATGGAAAAATACTTAAAATATTATTAAATCTTTTAACTTTATTAAAGTATATTGCTTCTATATTTAATTCATTATATAATTTCATTTACGTCTTATAATTAGACCTACTTCAAGTTTGTTGTTCAGTTGTGATTTTCCTGGAAAAATGTTTTTCTTCATGGCCAAAATAACAATGAATGGTGGATTTGGGAATAGAAAGTTCAAACTTCCAGTAGTATGTGAGCTCGGTGAGGACAGGCACTTCATCTGTCTTGTTCCCTGGGAGTCTAGAATATGGCTCCACACACAAGCCCTCAATAGAGGATTTGTTTAATGAAAGACTAAGTGAACTGCCTTTTCCTGGAGCCTAGTGAGGTGTGTTTTTTAATCATTTATTTTTGTTATGGATGTTGAGAATAAACACAGCAATTCAACAATGTATACATGTACAGTGCAGTGACGTCAGTTATTGTTTACGTTGTACAATGATTCTCACCCACCTTTTCTGAATTGTTCCCCTGTATTAGCATACACTCACTGCCCACTAAGTTTCCTATCTAATCCTTCAGGTGGTGGTGCTTGCTAAGTGTCTTATGGTTGGTTCTGACTCATGGCGACCCTGTATAGGGTTTTGGAGGCTGCACATCATTTCAGGAGCCAAAAGCCTCATCATTCCCCCATGGAGTGGCTGGTGGACTTCAACCGCTGACCTTGTGGTTCATAGTCCAGTGCTTAGCATATGGAGTCACTGTGCTCCTCCTAAATCTTTCAGGTTGCTTTTGTTAATTTGATCCTATACACATAGATCTGAATAACATATAATGTTCTAGGCAGATAGTCTTCACTAGGTAAGCTAATTTGGTTTTAAGATGACTTTGGGGGATATTTTGGTTTAAGGTTTAAAGATTATCCCAGGATAATAGTTTTGGAGGTTTATCCAGCTTCAATGGCTTTAGAAAGTCTGGATTCCATTAGAATTTTAAATTGTGTATTGCATTTCCCCCCATTTGATCAAGATTCTCCTATAGAATCTTGCTCAAAATGTTCAATAATGGTAGCCAGGCATCATCCAGTCCTTCCGGCTTCATGTCCAAGGAGGCAGTTGTTCTTGGAGGCGGAGGTTTTTGTTGTTGTTTTTAAGAGTTCCCTTTGTATGCTAAGTGAATTTTTACTACATTGTGAACTACATCAGAGTGCTGAAAATAGGACTCAGGGCTTGAAAGAGAGCTAGGATTAAAGGACTACAGAGGTGGTGGAGGGAATAGTCCCTGGGTATACTAAACTTACTAAAGTATTCCCAACTTTACACCTTCCCAGGAGCTCTCACTGTGGGCCTTGTGCGACAATGTCAGACCATCCATGGGCGAGACCGGACGTGCATCCCGCCCCGGCTTCCCCCAGAGTGGGTCACCACGCTGTTTTTTATCATCATGGGGATCATTTCATTGACTGTCACATGTGGTTTGCTGGTGGCTTCCCACTGGCGAAGAGAAGCTACAAAATATGCTCGATGGATAGCATTCACTGGAAGTAAGTAACCTGTGCTTACCAAATTTGTCTAGAAGGCACACACTCTGGTCTTTTTATGAAGAAAATCAAGAGCCATGATCAGGACTCCATAATCATCAAAGAGTGCAAGTTGTGTTTACCTTGTGATAGCCTCTACACTGTCTAGCCAGTTCTTCGAACTCTCTTTATGAGACCCGGACATCCAAACCTAACCACTTTGTATGGAATATTTGTTTATTGAATTTTACTTCATTGGGAACGGTATCAGAATGAATTTTATTTTATGTTGAACTTTATATTTGCTCACATTGTGACATAAGGGTTCCAAGTTTGTGACTCGGAGCTACCACTGGCTTGGGTCTTCTTTTCTTGTAGGTATTGGGTGTGTTCCGTCAGATAAAGATTAATCTAGGAGACAAGATACCAAAAACATAACTAAATGAAGGTGGTGATTTGTTTTTTAATATCATTGATTTTGAGTTTCTGCTCTGAGCTGTTAATGTGACTGTGGTAAATCAGTACATTTGATTATTTTATCATTGTTTACCAGTATTTCTTACTCCGTTATGTTATGCCCAAAGGTGTGATATATTTATTTATATATAATATTTATATATTATGCATGCTTTTGTACTTTGCAAAATTGCCTTAATTTCAAATCACATCACATGCTTTCTCAGATTAACCAAAAAGAGACAAAATACACAAGAAAAGATATTTTCTGTAATTTTGCTTTCTTGCTTCTTTTCCTTTAAAGCAATTTTGCCTCCTAGAGGACATTTGCAATGTCAGAGACCTTTGAGATTATCATACAAAGCATAGGATAGCCCTCCACAACAAAGTAGTGTCTGGCCCATTAGTGCCACTGTTGAGAAGCCCTAGTCCAGAGAAACAGAATAGAAGGAAGGATGCAAAACCCAAAGGCATTTAGTGCATGCACGCAGTACCTTAGGGAATCTCAGGTCTGCATATGGTTTTGCAAAGTGAATATTATTACAAAGCTTGCTTTCACTTGATATCTTCATTTAGAACTAGTGTCATTATTAATGTTCCAGTTTAGTTTATCCTTAAGGGCCCTTGGGTCTCTGCTTCTCTGTATCTCTATGACTCTTTCTCGTTAATGTATGTTTCCAGCTCAGTTTTTATATTTTTGTGACTATCTCCCTCTTAAGTTTAAAATTTAGAGGAAAACATCTGTGTTCTTGTTAAGCAAAATGAAAAAAGTTCGTGATACATCCTTTGTCAAATAAACCTCCAGATAGTTCTTGTATAGAGAGTAGAGTTTAGAGGCAATTGTAGAGAGAATGCTGTTAAATTAGGATCTTTACAAGGAATTTGAAGAGTATTTTATTTTTTTACTCACAACATGAGGTTAAGTCAAAAAAATATTGCTACAAAATCTTAGAAACCTTTGTTAAACAAAAAAAAAAAGACACCACAAAATATGAAGCTGTTGTTTCTCAGCACATCCTCTGTTAAGGCAAGCACACCTCTGAAGGCAATATTCCCATTTCTCTAACTCATTCCCTGCATGGTGGCTCTCTAGGATAGGTACTGGACTACTAACCACAAGGTCTGCACTTTGAGCCCATCAGCCACAACTCAGGAGAAAGATGAGACTTTCTGCTCCGGGTAAGATGTACAGCCTCAGAAACCCTATTCAAGGTCACTGTGAGTGGGAACCAACTTGATGACACCTAACAACAGCAACCCTACCCTGAAGCCGTTTTGGCATCACCTGGGGACTCATCCTGTTCCACTGGAATGTTCTTTTGTATTTGGGGACTAAAAAGAAGTCTGAGGAGTGGCTGGTGAACTTGAACCACTACCGACCTTGAGGTTCAAACTGACCTTGCCCATCCAACGCATCAACCTGCAGCACCACACCAGGGCTCATAAATAAATGTGATAAGGGACTCATCCTATTCTTTTAAATTTTCTTTTGTATTTGGGGGACAATGAGAAGTCTGAAGGACAAGATCACAGCCGTGGAATGGGTGGGGTAAGGTTTGGCAAGTAAATTCTCCTAGGACAGCCCTGCTACCCTTGAAGACTGAGTAAGTCCATTGTCATGATGGAAAAACTTCCTTTGCACAACTTTTCCTGGCCTTTTTCTTACCAAGGCAGTTTTCAAATTCTTACAACTTCTTCCTGATAAGCCCCCATGATTATCCTGTGTCCTCTGAGAAAATTTTATCAAGGTGACCCTTTTGGACTCCCATAGAAATAGTCACCCTAACCTTCTAAACTGACCTCTATGCCTTGAATTTAAGTGGTCCAACAGATCTTCTAAGAAAGCACTATTTTCATTGTTTTTTTTTTTTTTAAGGTACCCTAAAAAGTGTGTTATTGTTATTATTAGATGGCCTCAAGTTGGTTCTGACTCATAGTGACCCCATAAAACAGAATAAAGCCCCACTGCCCAGTCCTGTGCCATCCTCACAGTTGTTGTGTTTGAACCCATTGTAACACCTCATTGAGGGTCTGCCTCTATTTCATTGACCCTCTACTTTACCAAGCATAATGTTCTTCTCCAGGGACCAGTCCCACTGATTAGATGTCCACAGTACAGGAGACAAAATTTCATTAGCCTTGCTTCCAAGGAGCATTCTGGGTGTACTTCTTCCAAGACAGATTTGTTCGTTTTTCTAGCAATCCATGGTTTATTCAGTATTCTTCACGAGCACCATATTTCAAAAGCATTAATTCTCCTTCAGATTTCTGTATTCATTGCCCAGTTTTTGCATGCATTTTAGGTGATTGAAAATACCATGACTTGGGTCAAGCACATCTTACTCTTTAAAGTAACACACTTTAAGGAGGTCTTTTGTAGCAGATTGGCCCAGTGCAGTGTTATTTGATTCTTGATTGCTGCTTCGATGGTTGTCAACTTGGAAATGAAACACTTGGCAACTTGACATCATTCCTCCATTTATAATAATTTCCAGTTTTGAAGACTTTTGTTTTCTTTATGTTGAGGTGTAATCCATATTAAAGGCTATAGTTTTGATCTTCATCAGTAAGTGCTTAAAGCCCTCTTGACTTTCAGCAAGGTTTTGTCATCTGCATATCACTGGTTGTTAATGAGTCTTTCTTAGTGAATCTTCCTCCAATCCTGATGCTACATTCTTCCTTATATAATCCAGCTTCTAGATTATTTGCTCAGCATGCAGATAGAATAAGTATGGTTAAATGAAACAACCTTGGTGCACATCTTTCCTGGTTTTAAACCATGAAGTACCCCCCGTTCTTTTCTAACGCCTGCTTCTTGGTCTGTGGACAGGTTCTGAATGAACACAGGTGTTCTGAAATTCCCGTTCTTCACAATGTTAGCCATTTGTTATGAGCCACACAATCAAATGTCTTTGCATAGTCAGTGAAGCACAGGAATTCTGTGCTTCCAAGATCCATATATGATATCCCTCATTCCACACAGTCTTCTGAATCTAACTTAAGATTCTGGCAGTTCCCTACTGTTGCAACTGTTTTTTAAACTATCCTCAGCAAAATTTGACTTGAATGTGATATTAATGATAACTATTTAACAGTATCCACATTCTCTTAGATCATCTTTCTTTCGAACAAATAATGGATCTCTTCTAGTCGGTTTGTCAGATAACTGCCTTCAAAGTTCCTTAGTGTACCTGGTGAGCACCTCCAGCACTGCATCCATCTGTTGAAGCATCTCAATTGGTATGCTATCAATTTCTAGAGACTTGTTTTTTCCAGTGCCTTTCAGTGTAGCTTCTGCCTTCTTTACCTTCAGTTCTTGGTCATAGCTACATCCTGAAGTGGTTGAACATCAACCCATTCTTTTTGGGACAGTGACTGTATATTCAATTTCTTCCATCTTCTTGTGATGAATCCTGAGTTTTTCAATATTTTGTCCATACAATCCTAAAGTATTGCAATGTGAGTTTTGAATTTTCTCTTCAGTTTTTATTCAGATTGAGAAATGCTAAGTTTGTTCTTCCCTTTTGGTTTTCTATCTCCAAGTTTTTGTACATTTCATTATAATACTTTTCTTTGCCTTCTCAAGCCATCCTTTGAAATCTTCTGTTCAGCATTTTCACTTCGTCATTTGTTCCTTTCACTTTAGTGATTCTATCTTCAGGAGAGTGTCTTCTCATAGCCATTTTCTTCTTTTCTTTCCTTCCTGTCTTTTTAATAGCCTTGGTTTCTTCTTGTATGCTGTCATTCTACAACTCAGCTGGTTTGCAGTCATTAGTGTTCAAAGCATCAAATTCATTCTTGAGATTATCTTTAAATTCAGGTAGGATATACTTGAGGTCATATTTTGGCTCTTGTGGACTTGTTTTCCTTTTCTTCAACTTAATTTATATATGAGCACTCAGTGGGTCTGTTCCACATTCGGCCCCTGGCCTTCTTCTGCCTGATGGTATTTACTCCATTGTCTCTTTCCAAAGATGTAATGGATTCCAAAGATTCCTGTATGTTCCATCCAGTGAGGTCCACATAAAGTCACTGTTTATGTTGTTGAAAAAGATAATCTGCCTTGCATAAGTCATTGATCGTACAAAAGCCTTATCGTGTGAGCTCCAGCATTGTTTCTGTCTCCAAGGACATAGTCTCCAACTGCTGGTCCTTTTACTTTGTTTCCAACTTTTGCATTCCAGTTACCAGTATTTATCAATTCAACTTGATTAAATGTTTGTTCAATGTCAGATGACAAAGTTGATAAAAATCTTCCATTTCTTCATCATTGGTGTTAGTGGTTGATAAGTTCATTTAAATAATAGATTAACTGGTCTTCCATGGATAGACATATGGATGCTATTCTATCACTGACAAAAATGTTCTTTTTGATAATGAATGAATGTGTCACCGCAGGCATAGAAGACCTGTATGATCCCTGATTCAAAATGACTAGTAACAGTCCATTTTAGCTCACTAATGCCTGGGATATTGATTTTTATGGTCCATTTCATTCTGTTTCTCCTAGTTTCATACTTTATACATTCCACATTCTGATTATTAATGGATGTTTGTAACTATTTCTTCTCATTTTGAGTCGTGCCTCATCAGCAAATGAAAGTCCTGTAAGCTTTGCTCCATCTACATCATTAAGGTCAGCTTCTCCCCATTCATATTTTGAGTGCCTTCAAACCTAAGGGGCTCATCTTCTAGCACTATATGAATGTTCCGGTGTTAGTGAGTGTTATTAGGTTTTCAGTGGCTAATTTTTCTGAGGTAGACTGCCTCTTCCTTCTTCTGTATCTGTCTTAGTCTGGAAGCTCAGCTGAAGCCTGTCCACCATGGGTTACTCTGCTTGTATATGAAATACTAGTGGCCTTGCTCCTAGCATCACTGTACGACATACTGCCAGATGTGTGGTGATGACAAGACTATTGTTATAGGCTGTGGAGTCGGTTCTGACTCATAGCAACCCTGCAGAGGGTTTCCAAGAAGCATCTGGTGAGTTTGAGCCACCAACCTTGCAGTCCAATGCTTATCCTACAGAGCCACACCACTGAGGGTGGGTACATGTCTGCAGCCATCCACTGATGACAGAATAATGTTTAAACATGTTTTGTTTGGAATAAACCTGTGCATGTAGGCAATGGAACCACAGTAGCAATACTTACTCTCATACAGTGTATTAAGGAGTGTAGTAAAGTCAGCGGAGGATTCAATTTCTGGATTTAGTTCAAATATGGGAATACATATAACAACAACAGCATGCTCTGAATACCCAGATTTTAGAATAGGATTTAGCAAAGCATTATGAGTCAAAGAAAGCATTAAAATTCCCACATGAACCATTGGTTATTGTGGCCCAGTCAAGGGAGGCGAGAACTAGAGTTGTCTTTTTTCCCCATTCACCTTCACATTCCCCTATTGTGGGGGTGTGATTACCTTAATGCATTGTGTTTCTCCTTTGTTTTATATTTATATATTTTATAAAATTTATGTATTTTATATTTTATTTTTTTAGATAGGTAATACATGTATATCCATAATTCAAAGATTTAAAAGTAAGTTTCACTTGTGGCCCTACACCCTCCCATCCAATAATAACCCTTTCCTTGAGGTGATCATTGTATATCAGTTTCTGAGATTCCCTACCAGAGGTGTTCTCTGATTAGAAACATCTCTGTACAATAAATGCGTGTGTGTGCTCTCTGCATCGATATCTCACTACTCTGTCCCTTGGTTTTTGTAACTTAGAAATGTATCATGGAGTTAAGTTCCTAGAAGCTGCATAGAGCTGCTGTATTCTCTTCACTTTCCTTTGAATGCATTGTTGTTACCATTGTGGTTGCCTGGGGTGACAGTCCTTTTAGGCATTTTAAAATGTACTTCATTGTATATTCAAGGCGGCTTCAAAAGGTTTGTGGAAAAGCAAGATTAAATAGTAATGGAATTTTTCTGTGAACTTTTTGAAGCCTCATGTTTCTATTCCAACCAGCCCTGGTAGCGCCCCGGTTAAAGCACTCATATGCAGCTCTGTGGGAGAGAGAGGAGGCAGTCTACTTTTGTAAAGATTGACAGCCTTAGAAACCCTAGGGGGCAGGTCTAGTCTGTTTCAGAGGATTGCTCAGAGTCAGAATGGACTCCACAGCAATGAGTTTAGTTTTTAAAATCTATCCCAGTGAGACTGTAGTTTTCTCATGCAGGTGATGCTCACATTTTCTAGTGAATGTGTACAGTGGGAACGATCTCACACATGATGGGGCTGCCCCTAGGTACAGGGAAACAAAGATGTGTCTTCTTTAAGGCTGCCCCTTGTCCTTTTTCTGCCGCCCTTATTTACATCCTCATCTGCCAGTGTGCCTGATTTCTTACTCTTAGCAATAAATCTGAGTTATTGTTTTTACAAATTTACAAAGGAATGAAGTTATGTCTTTACAAATTTATTTAGGGCCCAGGGTTTAATAGTCAAAGGATGATAGTGTTATGCACATTTTAAGATCTAAAGTAACTTCACATTTTGCTATTGCTTAAAAGAAAAACTCATTCACCTACATTAAATCTTCTCACTAGAAAGTACAGACAACCTAATTTTTTGGATTAAAAACCAAGACTAGATTAAAAGTTCACTGCTTCTTTAAGATATGATATAAGCTTTTCCTAACCAAATTGGAAAATAATATTTAACTCTTGTTAAATGGTAAATTGTACTTTAAATATAGTCAATAAATGATTATTCCATTATAAAGTGTAGATTTTTATTTTACAGTAAAAATAGGAATAACGTTGATACATCAGTTGATAGAATGAGCGACTTTAATATCTGCTTATCTCCCAAGCACTTTTCTTTGAAATTATTTTATTGTCCCTTGAGATTAGATTAGTCGAATGAGAAAAAAGAAGAAACAAAACTGTTTTAAAACAATAACTTTGTGCCGTTTCTTTTATTGATTATAGCTGCTTAGATTATGGTTTCTTTTTATTTATCAAACCATATTAAGCATAAGAAGCACTAGAAGTTGGTGATAGAGAACACTGATGAGTGAGTATTGGCATCTCTGGTACTTACTGGTGACCACACAGCCAAACAAGGAGCTCTGGTAGCGTAGTGGTTGTGAGTCACGGTCAGCATTCAAAATACCAACCGTTCCTCAGGGGAAAGATGAGGCTTTCTGCTCCCATAAAGACGTACAGACTTGGGAACCCTCTTCTGTAGGGTCGCTAGGAGTCAGACCTGATTCCATGGCACACCTTTCCCACCACCACACAGCAAAAAGACCAAACGTTCTAAAACCTGAAATCTTCATTTGTCCTATCGTAGGTATCAGAATGAATCCAAGTTTACATATGAAGTAGTGTTTTCTGTGCTGTCTGTCCAGAATAAAACAGAGTCTGTACCTGTGTACTATACAATAGTCTACCCAAAGGTACAAAGCAAACAAGAGTATCAGTCTTCTTCTTAAGATACTGTCTCATTTTTAAAACTATGTTACTTTTAATATATTACTATACTTTTCCTTCTAGAAAAGGATTTCTAATGGACTTTTTAAGGGCTCCCATATTAAGCTTCATGAGTTGGAACTGACTTGACAGTTAACAACAGCAAAGACCAATCAACAGTGACCCTATGGAGGGTTTCTGAGGAGCACCTGCTACCATGAAAGTCATTTCTAGCGTTGCGCTAGGATCCCTGATGATTGATTGTTGTTGTTAAATGCTGTTGAGTCGGTTCCAATTCATAGTGACCCCATATAGGGTTTCTGACCAGTCGCTAGGGAGTTGGGACTGCCAGTCTTCCAGTTCAGGCCAACCTTGTGATCTGGGGCTTTGCTGATATTCCTGGGGATAGGTTTAACTTACAAAGTTTCTCATTCAGGTAATAATAGGAAGTTTCCATATTTCATATCCAGTTCCTATAGTAATATATGTCTTTTACTGAAGAGATATTTCTGCCACCAAAGAGATATGAAGGTCTATGAACGTTTGACCAGTATGCTTTCAAAAGCATAAAATATTTTCTTGGAATGGCCAGTCTATCTCTAAGAATGAGGGGCACACACTGTCTCCATTGGACTACGGAATTATCTGTACCCAGACCTCGAGGTTTCTGATGATCTTTTTAACAAATAATATGTTACCATATATATAATGCACCAGACTGCAAAGCCATTTGAACTGCAAGGTCGGCAGTTCAAGTTCACCAACTGCTCCTCGGAAACCCTATACAGGGTCGCTATGGGTCGGAATCGACTTAACGGCACTCAACAACAACAAATATATATATATGTATATGTATATATATATAAACAAAATTCTAAAAAATTTCCCTGCCTTCCCCTACTTTAACTTCTATGTTTTTAGAAATCTGAGATTTAGTTTTTTGGAACCTTGTCCATAATAAAAGATCAGTACTCTGATAATTTGCTAACCTTCCCAGAGGTCTGAGACATTTTTCAGTAATTGACTTTAAATCCAAGTAAGAGAAATAGCACTTGTGTGTACCTTTTCTCCAGTTCCTGCTGCGAGGAGACCATTGGCAGTATAAAGACCATGGGATCCTAGTAGGAAACATTTATTCAGCGTGTATTATTGACCTGGCACCGTGCCAGGAACTTAATATTACTCTATTTATCTTTCTAGTATCTTCTCTATTTTAGGAAAGGACCCAGAGGCCTGCCCTAGAGCACATAGCTAGTGAGTAAGAGAGTGAGAACTCGGCCCTTATCTGACTCTAGCTAGCTTTCTTACGTGGTCAAGACTAATGTATGTGAGTGATCACTGAGACTATTTGGTCAAGCCATTTCTTAATGCTGATGTTTGCAATCGGTCTAACATTTTAGCTTTTCCTATACACTAAATTGTTAGGATTCTAAAAGTATAATATGACCTATAATATATGTTGCTAATAACAACAATTAACTACAGATAGGTCCTAGTATGACATTGTAGGATTAGCAGTAGACTGCTAACTGCAAGATCAGCAGTTCAGACCCACCAGTCTCTCCTCAGAAACTTGATCAGGGTTGCTATGAGTTGGAACCTACTGGAACTGGCTGGTACTTCACAGCAGCCAACATAATATATATAAATCTTTTGACAAGCAACCTATGTTTTAGCAGGTTGATCATGTTATCAGTCTACAACCTTTCATGTAAACTTCCTTTGTGCCAAATTTTCATTGTTTTCTTAATCACCAAGCCATGTTACTAATGTTGTGTTTTGGTTTGTTTTACAGTGATCCTTTTCTGTATGGCTGCCCTAATATTTCCAATAGGATTTTACATCAATGAAGTCGGAGGTCAACCTTATAAATTACCCAACAACACAGTGGTTGGGTCATCATATGTACTTTTTGTCTTATCAATTTTCTTTACAATAGTACGACTTCTATTTGCTGGCAAAGTTTGTTTACCAGGCTGATGAATGTCTAAATTGCTTGACTTTCTTTATTTTATTTTATTCTTTTTGTTTTGGAGGTTGGGGTGAACAAATGTAAGGCATCTGAGCAATCCTCTCATAGGAAGATGCTTAGATGAAACTGATTTTGAATGAAAAAATGCTTTGATTTGTTCTCACTATGCACTTTGGATTAAAAAATAATAGTAATGAGAGCCTTTTCCACAACCAAATACAGACAACAGTGACTAAATCTCCTGAGCATCTTCAGGCAGTGAGGTCTGCACTGTGATAGCAACCTAGTGAAGGAGAATGCTTTATACTGAAAAGCATGTGGCCCTTTGTGATTCTATTG